GCTTATATAACTGTGTACAGTTGCAGATTTTATATGACATTGATTTGTATGAAAAGTTCGATTTATTTAGATTACGTCAACCCTTTTTTTGTAAGACAGATATCTAGCAGATTATAAAATTCTTCTGTATTACATATGCTTAATTTGTATTTTATTTATTTGCCTTAATTGCAAAATTTCCCTTGCAACATGATTAACTTATTTAAAACTGAAACAGATTTAGATTATATGCATGTCGTTATACTTTATGATTTAAAGATAACTTCCGATCTTGCAGAATGCACTATTAGATAAGTAAATTAACGTGAAATCATGTATAACCGCAGCTGTTAAGTTTACGCAGAGATAATTATTTCGTTCAGAAAACTAATTATCTACCTACTGATCTGATTTCTGTGAATCCTTATTTTCCTGCCTACTTTTTCCCTAAAGGAGGGCTTCGTTATTAAGAGAAGCCTGGCATGTTTAACCACACTCATCTGCTCGCAAATAATCAGGGTTCCTCTTGCTCAGAGTTACGGTTCTTTAAAAACTGTATTTTTCGTGCTGTTGTGCGTTATTGCCTATTGGTTTGGAATACAATTGACAGAATGTTTAGCTACTGTCAAATTTATTTGACATTCGTGATATTTTGGATGTGAAAAGCGTTTCTTTTATCTTAATTCAATTAGTCAAATTATGGCCATGTTCGAGTCAGAATCATGTAATTGTGGGTTGCGCTGCATGAAATAAATCGCCATTGACCGGAATTTAATAGATGTTAGGTCACTAAATATGTGTGCGGATACATTGCATCAGCATTCGAGAGTGCAAAATATTGTCAATTTTATTGGGAAAGGCAAGCTAATATTGATTCCTACTTAAAATCCAGAGAATTTGAGCAAGTTATAATATATTAACAGTTAATACTGCTTAAACTGGCAATTTCTCTCCTTTCTAAAATGGTGTGTTCTCTCAGGAGCATTTTGATATTGAAGACTTTTACGCCGTATTGGGTAATTATGCTTTCTAAATACGGTGTGATAAATTATTCTTATTCCCACCTTTGACACGGCGTAAAATGCAGTTATTTACCAATATGTAGCTGAAGGAACCCTGTAATTAATGCAAAAGTTTCTCCTCCCGATTAAAAGTGGGGCAGAAAGCCAAGTCGGGAGAATTAATCAATCTTTCTCGGCTGCTTTCTCCGCTCCGATGCTTCCACCGGTTTGTTTACTGGCTACTTGGCCATCGCGCTGGACAACTTTTACTACCAAAATAACAAGAGAATTCAATTCCCATTTGACTCCTGAGGTTCTTGCGTAACAGAAAGTTTATAGAACTGGTTAAATACCAAGATTAAAGAACTACGAAGAAAGTAATTGGTGCATTTGAAAGCTTACTTGCTACGTATGTAACTTGAAAAGTTGAATATTTTATTTGTTTCTTACGTATTGAACAGTTGCATAAAATAATTTTCAAACTCTTTGCTAATTATTTCCTTTAGACAAAAACTGCTTTCAAGTTTACAAATTTTACTATTAAGTCGGTAGGATTGGACAGGAAATATGTAACAAGCTCGAATTGCATATCATTTTTTTACATGATAATTACTTGTCGAGAAATTTTCAACCGATTAAATACCAATTTGTTTAAGAAAGTACATACGTTCGTAATCGATTTTCAATTTATGCTATACCGGATGGAGAATATTTGATTGTGCTCATATTTTGCGGCAACCAAGCGTACTTTCTTCGGTTTAACATATCTTAGCGTTTAATTTGTTGGTTTTTCGTGGATTATGATTTCACACTTTCACTCGAAACCTGATTGTTTAGCTATTTGTTTATGAGTCAAGTACCAAGAAAATTTATCCAATGGAAATATTTTACTTTGGAAATTTTACTAAGAAATTGTTGTTGTCTGCAATGCATTTTCTGTTACTTTTATATAACTTGGAAATTTTACAACTTACCTAGTTTCTTACCTTCACACGGTGCAATCGTATAATAATAATTAGCAAACGATGGCGTCATTATCTAAATATGCGTATAAGCACGGTCATCATTCTTTGGTTTCGTAACTCCGACCACACAATCTCCACCTCAAACTTTCTCTCTGTGTAAACTGAGCAAGTCTTGTGCTGTTTGGACGTGGCTATTGTCAAGAGAGTAATTTATCCTCCGCCTCGTAAAGCCTTCTTCGGCCGCGTGAATGCTTACCAGGTTTTCGGGACGTTCAGGTATTATGAAAAAAAATATGTCTGAAATTATGGAAGAAAATTACGTCCAAGGTTTGACAGGAGGAAAAAGATTACTAAATTGCTATAAGTTGGTGAAGCAATGTTTGAACGGCCTCCTGTTTCTGTATTCGAGACGAAGCCAGGATTTCCAAGGTATTTGCCACTTCTTTGTTGGCGTGGCTGTTGTATTGTGTTTGGCGATTTTGGTGTAAAATGAGCCGTGTCATTCTCTGCATCCGTCGAGTTCTCGTGGGAAAAGTGGCACAAATTACTTCCTCCCCTCGAAATAGACACATGTCGAAATGCACACGATTTGTGGGGCAGGGTTTCAAATACAATTTTGTATAATATTTTAAATGATTTATGATTGGTTTTGAAATAATTCAAATTCTTAATTAAATATGAAAATATTCAATTGATTTAAATAAAGTTGAAGTTGGAAGCCAATTACAAATAATTTGAAAATAATGGATGCCGCACATTATTAAGATTTTGATTAAGATTCTGAGAAATTAATTATTATTAATTATTAAATAAGAATGAATGCTTACTTTGATGGTAGAGTGATTGTAATAATTTAATAATTTTTGCAAGTTTGAAATATCACTGTCCTCATTTGAGCATGGTGCAGGGTCGAATTCTCCAGTTATGATTCACAATTTTTAGCCTTGCGGTTTATGTCAAATATGCTGAAATTTTTGTGCACCTTTGGGAAACATTAGTATTTTTCCCAAATTTCCAAAATGCCGGTGTCACTATTGTCACCTAATCCGAATACTCGAAGCTATTGTTGCGACATTATTTGGCTTACTCATTCTTCACTTCATACCTTGTCTCGTGACAACGTTAATGTCCTCCTTATGCAAAACGAGACCAATTCTGGATTCCCATTTATTTATAGCACATCGTGCCGGATGAGGGAAAAAAACTCGTGGGAAAGTTTCCACGCTTTCAGTGGAATTTTTATCCCCTGAAAATAAATCCATCTCACGCGTTACGTTTTTAACGTCGACAATTTTACGGGACTTGGAATAAATAAAATTCTCTTGGTGGAATACGACGGGTATGAAAATAGCGGGAAAAAGTTACTAAATTTAGCAAGATGCGATTAAGTCGGATGTTTGTAAACTCGGTAAAATCCTTGAACTGTTAATTGCGGAGTTTCCTTGTTTTATGAAGTTATGAAAATGATATGACTTTCTTTTCGGAGTTATTGAATATTTAATAAGCAGAAAAATTTTAATTTTTAATTCTTTATTACAGTTTCTTATACATATCTTTTACTTATCGTAGTCATGAATCAATAAATTAATTCTTCGTGTAATAATAATTTATTTAGATTGACAACATTGATTAATATTTAAATTACAATAATTACGGAAACTAATTAATTATATTTTAGTCGTATGAATCAGTACTGTACATTGTTTCATGTATTACAATTTATCTTACAGTTAGTGACCAACATTTACGATCGATATTTATATTTGACGCCGGCATTAATTACCTGTCATCGTGGACAGTCGATTATTTATGTACATAGAAAATTTAGAGGACAAGATTTCCCGTTTCAATATTTTGTTTGTTTTCGTAGCCTTAAATAAATCACAAACCGCGGTATACACACTTCCTCCACGAGAAATTGAACAAATGCACGGTAAATAATTTGGTAATAAAATTGGTGCACTGCAATTAAATCCCGTAACGAAAAGAATTATCAAAGTTACTCTATCTAGTTGGAAATAGAAACGTTGATAAATTGGTAAACTAACAATAAAACTGGATGAAAAATTGTGTTACCAAATTTTTAAGAGTGACCTTCCTACGGTAACGAACCGGAAAAGAGAAACTACTAAAACCTCTCCCGATTTGAACGAATGTTTCTCGCCCTCGCAATTAAAATGAGTGACATTTCGGTAATTACGATCTCACCCGGTCACTCAGTCACAGGAAATAACGAGTGAAAGTTAGGAGCACGCCTCAACTTTCACTCCGTTGATGGAGCGCAATTCCAGACTTAATTGCTCGAGCTGTAATTACAAAAAAGTGGACGAACTGTTAAAAAAGAGACGCCTACATTGTAAAGCTAGCCATTTGAGATATGAGATTTGGATTTTTGATAAATTTTTATCCACACCGTGACCACGACCCGATTCGAGTAACATGAATTGCACGACTTTCTCTGCACCACAAGGGAAAATACGACCACTTTTGTGTGCGTTTTTTATGTTAATTTCGGTCGCGAAGTTGCGCAGGGTTGGCTGGTCTAATGTGGAGTGGAAATCTGGTCGTGGCGATTAAGTAGTTCAATTCGTGGTTGGATTTGAGGTATTGAGCCGTTTTGGACATTTGACAATGGATAATAAACTGTACGGCATTTTGTAAAATTAGAACTAATAAATTAAATAAAGAACTATATTAATTATAAATTAATAATAAATCAGTTGATAAAATAATTCACAAAATTGCATTTAAATTTTATTTAAATTATATTTAGGATTTCCTTTCTATGCACATCGTCTTACTTCAATAGTTCTCTGAATCTTTATTACACACAAATTACAGTTAATTATTCTACACAATTAGAATTATAGATTTGAGGACAGGTATAAAATATAGATTTATTACATGTTTCTTTCTATGTTTACCCCTTATTTTTCCCCTCGCTTTCTCCTTAACTACATCTAGTTTACTTAATCGGTGGTTCATTAAATACTTGGCTGGTTTACTTGCCCCCATAAATCTGTCCCCAGTTCCACCATCCACTTCCACCTACCCACCAATCTTTACGGTCGACTCGTGTTGACATTAAAATTTCTGGCTTTCCAACCAATTAAAAACAACAAGTTAATTAAGCAATAAAACAGAATTACGTGTGGAGCAACAGGACCGCGCAAAAAGCATGCGAACGATTTCCTTGGCCCACTGTGACCGGTATTTTTACCCGATGTTGAAATTGTCACGAAAGGGATAGAATGCCTTGAGCCTGACCCTCCTAAAATCTGTCACATGCTTTATGCAGGGCCCCAAAGTGGTCACCGTGATTTGGGACGATGAGTTATTTAACGTCGTGTAACATGTAAGAACCGAATTTAAGTGGAGGACACGACCAAGACCCAAATAATTTATGTCCAACTTTGTGCTGCCTTCACCGCGAACTTTCACCGGCCTCAGGTTTCGTAGGGCTTTCTCCCCGAATAAGCAAATTATTTCGCGCCCTCGGAGCACCCAACGACGCGATTAGATAGGCAACGACCCTCATAAAATAGAATGTCGTCCATCTCACATAGTTAGAGATACACTCTGAATAATGTCCAATTCTTTACTGAGGTTCGAGTACGGAATTGGTTATATTGTGTTACCGATGGGCGATAACTTTCCACGAAATGGTACTAAATTTGATGCAAACGAAACTTAATTTTTTTCAAACTTGTCACGGAACATACCACTCTTTGGTATAAATTAAGATTTATATTTATCGGGTCGGGTGACAACAAATTTAGTTGCAAATATTTGTCGTTTAGTTTTAAATGTAAGCACCTCCAATTTGTATCAAGTTACGATCAACTCGGTGAAGATTGCCACATTCAGGAAACCAATTACTGGGAGATTATTTAGAGTGTGCGCTATCTCTGCTGTCTTTTTCGAAGGTCTGAGTTCGCAGGTCGTTTGTGGTGGGTGGCGAGTAAATAAATTCTGTTTTCTGCTGTTTTGCTGCACTTACAGCGAATTAACAACTCCATTATTTTCCTCGTTCATCATTCCGCGTCTCGCGAAGTTTGCTTTCCTCGTGGTTTCCGTCGCTGCTGTTTTCGTCGGGTGGGTGTTGGAGGTGGAGGTGCGTTTTCTTGGCTGGGTTGCTAGAATGGCAGGTCGTCCGGTGGGAGAAAGTAGGCTGTGGAAAATTCTGCGGTGAAGATCTCCTGCCTTAGTTTGAGAATGTCGGAACTCTGGAAAAACAAGGATGAGAAAGAAACTAATTATTTTTTAGGCTTTAAATAGGTCAACATTTTAGTGTATTTTAATCAAATCAGAAATAAATTTTGGGAATTTATGATAAATATTTAGTACAAATTCTAGTAGAAATATCGTGTCCTAATTAAATTTAAAAAAATGGTAAGTCGATACCAATTTGTCTTAATAATATTGCAACAGAACTTCGTAAAATAATTCTACAAAATTTACGATTCAGTGGGTTACACCGTCAAAGTCGACTGGGCTTAATATAATTTAATTAAATCGGTAAAATTATGGCCAATTTGTCATCTTTAATACGAAATTCTATTAAAAACCCACTGCTAAATTTTCCCCAAACTAAAAATCCTAGAGCTTAGCAGAACTCCATGTCCGGCTTCTCTTGCAAAAGCAATAACTCACTTTCTCCCAAATTGAGTAATGAGCTTCAGGAGCGATCCCATTTTAAAAATAGGACAAAAAAAAGAAAGTTCTCTGTGACTCACTTTCTTTCCTTCGTAACGAACTTTGGTTTCGAAACTGGACATGTTTCACTTTCTTCTTTGTTGTCCATCATTCTATTTTGCTATGTTTCCCGGAATGAGTTTTCATTCAGCGTTTCAACAGGGAAATACACCGAGTAAATTCGTTTAAAGATCCTTTACGAAGTTTACGGAAAAAAAATTTGTTCACGAATATATTGTAAACTTTCGCATGTCAAAGATGTGGGCGTTGTATAAAAGTTTGAAAAGCAGTTTCGCAAAATTTATAGTTTACAACGTTACAAATATCGGTGTGAATTACGCCAGATTCTATTCTATGCAAATTTTTATCCACTTTCTACTTTTTGCCCATTTTTAGATTTTGCTCTGTTTCCTAGAACAAGTCTTGGAAGGAAATATCGACCGAGAGAAACAAAAGTGGGACTCGTTGCATGCCAAAAACGAAACCAAAGGTCACGAAACAAAGAAACCCCAAGGACGCCAGAGCACACACACCCAGAACTTCCCCACCTTCTCATAAAACACTGAATAATATGTGGTAACTATTTAATACCAGTGGATGTATAAAGTCTGCCCATTTGGGAATTAAGTATTTACTACCAGTTTTATGATATTTTGACACAAAATTCCAAGAATGGAATTGTCGTATGTAAATTAAAAATCACGTCAGCAAAAGCAACTTTGCATTCCAAGAAACTCATTTGTTTTTCTTTAATTAACAAATCACGCACGTGAGGTAAAAATATTACTTTAAAGATAAAAAAGTTATTGTTACACTCAATTTTTGTGACCATTTAATGCTTCAAGTAAATCACTCATTGTGTACATATATTTGCAGCAAATAAATGGATACAATTTGAATTAATGTCAATTAATAGCATTTTCCACCAGATTGCTTAGAGTGCACCCATAATTCGAAAATGTGCACTTACGTACATACAAAATTGAATACTGTGTATGTACATATGACACGTTTCCTACGAAAATTGCACCTCGACGAGGTGACCATCATTAAAAATGTGCTGCCCTCCACTCCACCTAATAATAAATGAGGCGGGACAATTCAAATCATGTCCACCCAGCGCGTGTAATGCCTTATTTGTGAAAACGGTCATAATTTATGCACTCGGAAGTTTGACCCATATCGGGACGAGGTCTCCGCCGCGGTGGGAATGCTGTTGCGTGTGAAGTAAAATAAATTGCTCCTCAACAAACGTCCATTCACGAAGTAACCACGTCTTCCAAGAGCATAAACATAGCAATTTTGCAACAAAATTTGCGGAATTTACTCTAAATAATTCGGTAATTAGCAATTACGGATCTGACTTTGAACACATACATACTTTGAATTTGTCCTTCATTGAAACTCTAAAATTCGATCAGAATAATTGCTTTTGATTTCATGAAATATTTTATCTCGGGGTCATGGAAGACCAAAATTAAAATAATTTGCTCAAGCTCCAAAAAACGTCCATTTATGAACAAATCGAGACTGATAACTGAATAAAGAACAATTCCTGAGTAAAATTCAAGAAATTCATTCCCAAAAATCTTCGGGGTTGTATATATTTTTACATAATAAAATGGTAACCAATTTTTGCCGCATTATTTAGTGAGCGTTATCACGCATGTTACACAACATGAGGAAACTGCGGGTGGGGAGAAAGTCGTCTAGTGGGCTGACCAGGCTTGACCTTTTGCCAACAGAATTTACACAACAGGCGAATTTTGATTTTATAAACGACCATTTCATGCAAATCAGGACAAGTCGAGAATTATGATTTGGACAATTTTATCCTCATAAGAAATCGATTTTTATTTGGCATCTCGTGGAATGTATCGTTATATATTTCTTCCCTATTTATGGAAATCATTATGGCCCCAATTTCTCGAATCGGGTGAGTCGCATGGGACGCAAGATTGCGAAATGACGCCACTTAGGACGTTACGTTCCGACATGACGAGTATGATGATAAGAACGTATTGTTATCGACAAAGATGGCCGACATGCAGAGCAGATGACGAAACATAACGCGGAACCAAGTGGCCCACTTACATTATTCCGCGTGTAAAAGGACAGGGTTCACAATGCAAGCTTACTTTTTCGCTCTGAACTAAACTCACTGAGCAAAACATAAATTACTAAAAAATTTTGAGTAAAAAGGTTTCACAGATAATTAGTACGCAGATAATTATTGTAGTCATTTTATTAAACATAAAATTTCGGATGACGCTTAAAAATCTGCCGCAATCGTACCTAATTAATAATACACTTTCTACAGATTGCTGAAATTTAGTTTTCGGCGTCAAAATCTAACTCATAATAAATTAAGTAATTACGACAGGACAAAATTTCGACCATTTTACATGTTTTGTAACATGTAAAACCGCAACGGTTTTAGAGGGCTGCAAGGACGCCTTTCTCCACCGTGAGATATAATCAGGGAGAAAGCAGGATGAGTTTGCAGGGAAAGCATAACATTCCAGCCGAGCATGTCGTTTAGTTGTTGGAATACGGCTATTACATTACCCATGATTTCTCCCGAGAGGCAAAACTACTCCTTTCCCCCGTCCTCGAAAATAACGCTCCTTTCATTTCATAGGGAGCAAAGTAATGCGTAACAAAAGGCGGCGATGAGAGAGAGAAAGTCAAGTCGAGTCTGAAAATCATTCCACTTTCACTTGAGCACAAAAACAATGCCAAACTTGTCCACTCGAGGAGAACTCAAATAAATACATATTTTACGCCAGAAATAAGCATTAGTTAACATACATTAGCTGGAAATTGAGTGGCCGTCAGGGTGCGGTCATCGTGCGCTATTTTGAACTCCTGCTTGAAATTCTCTCACAAACATTGGCACATGTTTTCACTCGGAAAGACAAATTTTTTTAAGGGTCTCGAAACGTAGATATGCACCCTCCGAGAGACGTAATCGATCCACTGCAGTATTTCCGTTCGTTACGTGTGTAGTAGTGAAATTGGCTCGTTTTTGGTTTGACACGTTGAAAAAGGATTTCATTTTCATTGAGCGACTCGTTTACATGGTTTTTCCTCTCAGACTGAGCACGTTCAAGTGAGTAAGCTCCCTAAATAATGGGAGAGCAAAATTATTTCCCAGTGGAGCTTGGTAATAACTACTATACAATTATTCCTTTAATTCAGTTGTTCCAGCTGAATATGAAAAACTGAGCAAATTATTTGCAAACTGGTACAATTATGTTTGGCAGCCATCAAGTTTGGAACATTGTTTTATCGAGTATAGATTTTTGAAATACTTTGTTATAGAATGGAAACAATTAGATATATTCTCCACTAAATTTTTACTAAACATGTAAAACCCAATAGTGGATTTTTTTCGGATTATTTAGAGTGGACAGTAGAATGGAATTATTTGTGTTTTGCTGCTTTGTGACTGGACGGTCTTTTGCTGTACGGTTTTTGTTGGCTCTTTGTGCGGAAATTGCGTGCGGTTTCGCGTGAACGATTGTCCAGATATGGATTACATTCCGAATTAACCACTGTAATTTGATCGATGGGTGAAATTTCGTAACGAACCAAATTTCGGGATTTATATCATCATCCCGACTTCTCCTCAACACGATATACGCAGAAATTTGTGCGTCACGAGTTACGACCTTTATAAATCTTTCCAAACTAACGAGTCGTGTCAAAATTAAGTAGTTGCAAAGTTAAGTAATAAAAAAAATTGACGCAAGATTTCATAACAAAATCATTCACATCATTAAGAATACGATCGTGCAAATGTGCTTCTGGAAGCAGACTTAGATTTTTCAACATTTTTCAACTAATTTAATTCACCTGGCACAAAATGAGGAAACTTATTTACCGCAAAATTGACACTTTTACCTAATTGGTAACATATTATCGCAGATGTGAACAACAACAGATAACCAAATTTGTACATTCGTGTGAATGATAACGTTTGTTACCTAACTTAATTATGGCGTAACGTAATTTCTGCGTATCAATTACATAAATTCTGACCCGATATGTCATGTAAAAATTATGTAAATTTTTACGTTGGGGTCCTTTCAAAATTTATTATCTCCTGTGGAATCAGGTCTCGGAGTTAAGTAGTTGTAAACTTGTGTAACGACGTAGTAAGCAAGTTTGACGTAAAAATCCATAATCATCACGCACGACATTGAATTGAATGCCTCTGTAACGGCAGACTGGCCAATTTCCGCCGTCCATCAAACTACCCACTCTTCATCTATTTTGCATGAATGTTACCTAACCCACCCGCCAAACTGTCAGAGTTGACAATTTGAAAGAGTGACAAGATGTGAGTACCTAAAATGTGGGGACTCGTAAAATCGGCCCACTTGACGATTTACCAGAATTTAAATTTGGACCGTTTTGAACCAATTTCCAGCCTACTTTCTCCCGATCTTCCACTCTATTTGCGAGGAGTGAAGTCACTCTGGCAAGAAATGTGGATCCAGATTTCCTTCCGGTTGGGGACTTGGAG